GGGGGTGGGGGGTGGGGGTGGTGTACGCAGGCAGGCAGAATCTCCAGCACTGCCTTTTTGCCCTGAGTAAGCTGTAAAGCAGCATCTGTACAACAGACTGTCAAGGAAGGGTATTTTCACCATTTATCCTTAAGCACCAGCCTGGTGGAATAACAGATAAGTGTGTCAGCCCATTAAAGACTTGGCTTATACTGCAGTGTTTTTTTTAAATATATAGCCAGTATGTGGTTGGGTGTTGGCACTGGAGGCATAAGTCATTCATTAGAGCGCCATAGTTAAGTCTAGGCCTGGAGGGATCATATGCAACCTAACTGGTTGCCCTGTAACCTTAACGCAGAGACAAGGAGTTCAGCTTCCTTTGCCCTCACTGGGACCCATCTCCTGTGGGGCTGCTGTTTCCAGTGAGCTGGGTGAGGAGCACCGATCTGCTGGAGTGACTGTCCAAAGCACAGCCCCACTGACTTTGGCAGCAGTGAGGCAGAATATGGGTTTTATGCCCCTTGCAGTGCCTGAAGCATAAGCTGTGCCAGAAGAAATGGCTCTGACAGCCCTGCTATGCTCAGAGGAGCAGCCCTGAGGTGCACCAGGGTGTTTACTCCAAGTGGAGCTGCAGCTGCAGAAGTGCCTTTCTAGAGGCTGATCTGTGTGCTTTAGGACAGGCTGAGCATCAGCCCCTCCTGGAGCCAGCTGGGGGAAGGAGCTCTTGTCTACTGTCTCCCAGATATCATCTAGATCTGCACAGTTGCCAGGACACTATGGCATCCTATGTTCATCTCTTCCAAGCAGGAAGTTCATCACTGTTCTGCCTTGATGACACCAGCACCCTTCTGGCCTCGGGGGGGAGAGCTGTGTTGCAGACTTGTGAATATGAGCAAGGGCATTGCTGGCAATAGTTGGAAAACTCCTGGAAGCTGCCTGTGGCTGGGCTTGAGGAACTGGCTGGACTCTCATGCAGGAAGGATGTGGTGCCTGCAGGCAGGGACTGGAGGTGCTGAAGTACCCAAGTGACAGTAAAGAGGATTCCCCGTGCCCTGCACTCCTGGGTCTCTAGCTAAGCCCACTGGGTTGGAGCTGTGGGGTAAAGCACGGTGGGGCTCTCCTTGTCCCCTTCTGTCATCTGTTGGAGGGGTTCCCTACTCCCTTCTGCCCTGCATCAGCTGGGGAGGGATTCACAGTATGACGGACCAGGGGAGCCAGAGCTAAATCCTGATCCAGAGGGGCTTATGACAGTGCTGGCTGGACCCATGTATGTGGGCATATCCTTCAGGGGTTACAGGGCTGTGGGAAGATGGGAGATATGAAGCAGAGTGAGGGAGAGAACAGATACTGTGGGAGAAACATGAATAGTTTGGAAGGAAATGTGTTTTCTATGGGTGGCCTGGATCTCCAGCCACGGTGGCAGGAGAGGACCTCTCCCTTACCCTCTGCAGGGCTACCTCCAGGTGCTGGGAAGGCACAGGCATGCCTTGTCCTGGTACAGATGCACTGGGAGAGCTCTGAGCTCTTCCACTTGGTTAAATTTGTCGCTCCATCTGCGGCTTACAGAAAAGCCTTCCCCCTCCCTGCCCTCCTGCCATCAGGAAACTGCTGAAGGAATCAGGTCGTTGATCCTGCAGCAGCAAGGCCCCTAATTAGCCCAGCTTCTTGGAGTTTGCCGCAAAAGCTGGCTGTGTGTGAGGCAGCTCAGAGACCTCCAGTCCCCAGTGTGGGGGAGAGGGGCCCAGCACAGGCAGGATTCCAGAGAAGGAGAGAGAAAATGGCAGCACTGCAATGCTACCAATGCATTAAATATGAGGAGAGCCTGCCCAGCCTGCTGCTTTGTCCCCATGTACATGTGCCTGGGAGGGGAGAAGGGGACACACTGGGTGATAGTGAGGGCAGGCAGACATTGAGGTGGGCTTGCTTGCAGGCAGGGGAAGCAGCAAGGGGGGGGGCACCGCTCCCCAAATTCTTCTTGCAGTCACAGTATGCATGTGAGGCCCCAGCTCCCCTGGGCCTCTCCTCACACACATTTAATAATGATTGCTGGACTGGGTAATAAAGTGCTGTTTAATAGTGAATTGATCACACAGGCTGGGCGGGCAGGGAGCACTGGCTGCCAGCTCCCGCAGCTGCTGCTTGTGGACCCAGCACAGTGGCAGGTGGTCATGCCACAGCACCCTTCATCTTGGCACCCAGCTGCCCCACATGAGCTCTGCTCACACACCCCTCTGGTGCCGACAGAGTCCCCACGCCTGGGTAAGATGCAAAAGATGGGTTTTTTTTCCCCCTTGTAGCATGAAATGCTTTCCTGTGACTGAGGTGGTATTTCCCATCCTTGGGGTGTGTGGTGATGTGAAGTCTGTGGTGGCCTGGAACACCTTGGGACCTGTGGCCACCATGTGCTTAGGGTGAGGACCTGTGGAGAGGCAAGTCCCCAGCACGGGGCTTGTGCTCTGGGACAAGAGCCAGCAGCCTGCTGGAGGTGGCCAGGGCCACACGGCAGCTTTTGTCTTCTCATCCTCATGGTCCCCAACCAGCTGTGGGGTGTGGGTGCAGCCTGTACCTTGCAGCACAGGACGTAACACACGGCTGTGCACACTCATACGTGAGGACATGTGCCCATGGTCATGTGGGAACTTGGGTGCTGCTGAGCAGGGGTGTGCCATGCATGGCATTGTGCATGCTGATGACAGGAGCTGTGCGCACCAGGACATGGGGACGCATGTGGTGTCACACCGGGACATGCACACCGGCAGACGGGGTTGCGCCTGCCAGCACATGAGACCGGGTTCACATTGGCACGGGGGGATGTGCACACCGGGCCTGCAGGGTGGTACACCAGGGCGCGAGGCCGTGCATGGCGCTGCACCAGGACGTGGACACGGGGACGTGCACGGTGCTGCACGGAAACACGCCCGCCCGCACACGGGGGCCACGCACCCCCGGGCCGGTGCGGTC